ATATTTCTTTTTCCAACCACTTCATTCTGATAATCGCATCAACTCTGACCTTCGAGATTCCCAACTTTTTCGCAATTTGCAGCGGTTTTAATTTCTCTTCACTCCACATTTTGTAAACCATTTCGCGGGAGAAATTACTGATGGGGGCAATCGGACGGAAGAAAGGATTACGTGGGTATGGGTTACGACGTAGTTCTTCGAGACGACTCAGTTCTGTAGCTGTGTACATTGCGGTTGGTTTTTGCGGTTGTTGTTCATCTGCAGGTTGCTCTTTTGAATTTGAATTTTGTTGCGTCGCTAATTCTTCTGATGGACTTGGCGTTGCTGATTGGTGTGTATTGTCTCCTTTGGACTGTAATTACAAAAACAAAGTCAGCAAGAGTTTGCCATCACTTTTAAACATGAATGTAACCTCCACGGAGTCAGAAAAGTAGCGAGTTGAAGATAACTGAAAAAGATTTAAATTTCTCTTCAATAGAGACGAAGCGGGTCTGAATTTGTTCATTTCGAAAAGTTCCTTTTTTTCTCGTTTGACAACTGAAAAAACAAAAACTCCGGCTGCATTAGCATTCTAATCTGAACGTTTTATTAGTAACTTTAGCAAATAAACTCCCATGATCCTCTCCGGCAATATTTGCATTTCTATCTCGCGACGCTTCCTAGCGCCTGGACGAATTTTTCCACTTGCAGACGATACTAATAGCAAATATTTCAAATTAAAGATGTAACGAATTGGATTCAGAATACCTCTGGTAAAACGATCTCAGTTCGTGCACCACCCGGGAATTAGTTTTATTCCTCAGTCAAGCAGTGATAATCGCATGCTACTGCTGTGTACGTTTAGCATCTGTATGCACCGTTAGAATTAGAATAAATCTGCACTGATACGGTATGTGATTGTTACCAAGTTGATTTATGGACACCTGAGGCAAAGATTGTTATCGGTAAAATCGATTCTCTGGAAAGATCGTTTCCAGATTTATGTATTCTGAATTTTTCATGCAAAGATGATGGAGAATGGGAGTATGAAGAGGCTGCGGCAAAATGCAGCCCTGTTCAAATTTTGAGGCGTTTTGGGTTGGTTGTCGAAATTTTTTCGTGGTGATAAATATTATTTTATCTTTGAGTGTTAATAAATAAAGTTTTCTGTTCTACCGATATAATAAAGAATCGGCAAGGTGCTTTTCTTACAAATGATTAAATCACTCTCCGACTTGATTTGTGATTTGCGCATCGGTTCAGTATTCTGTGATAAACTTCGGTGTGTAGAGAAAATTGAGTAGATTGATACTTTCAGTTCTCCTGATCGATATTGCCCTGCATTGCCTAAACTGAGCAAAAGTATCAAACAAAAAATCCCCGCGGTTGTGGGAAAAAAATATACAACATCAAATGAATGAATAGAGAAAATCAATTGATAAAGACATCGCATTTTACAAAATGAAATAGAAAAAAACTCTCCAATTGATACTGCAAAACGGCTACTTTTTGCTGCTTTTCGGTTAATTTACAATTGATACTTTCAAACCCTGATCGAGAGATATCGTCATTGATTGCACAAGAAAAAAATTTTTTTTTTAAAAAAGTATCAACACTTTAACGTTTTCTCGAAACGCTCACAAAGATCTCTTAACAGATGGCTATCGGACAACCAGATAATATGGAAAAATTCTTCAAGAACAGCGCAAATGGTCGGTTACTGCACTTGACGATACTATGTATATTCGAAGCGTAAGTGCCAGAGTATCTTTTAAAGAAAGACCCTTGATAAATACCTTGGAGCAATCATCTTATGTGATGTTTTTAAATTAGGATTTTGTTCATTTCTACGATAGTCTTTTTCGCAAAGCGAAAAAGCCCTTCTATCAAGGTCAAAGGTGTTGGATTAACTGTGTCGCATGCCATCGTGTCCATGGTACTCACTCCCGTTATGATTCTTCGAGTAAGTACGATAAAAATGAGTGTATTTAATGTATTGACTTGTTCGTAGAATACATACGCTGCAGAGTATCCATGTTTGTATGTTTTTGGATATTTTCGTTCTACTCTTTTCTCAATCGATTACTTTCTTTACGAAATAGTTTAATTTTCTGGGGTCTGAACTTCCTCGTACCATTATGGACTCTGTTTTTGGTCAGCAGGGGATACTGGTTCTACAAACTATTCAAATTTCACGAATCGTCTGGAGGAAAATATACACCTGATAAATCGGGTAAAACTCGCGACCAAGGTAATTCGGATGTGTGTAGTGCGAAATGTTTCAACGTTTGATTTCTTTTTTTCGGTAGATTCGGTTTTCAGTTTCAGCATGATTCCGGCTCCTTTACGGTTAGAAAGTGGTACGCTTGCCTTCCAAGAAGGAGAATGGCAGTTTATCAGCCGATCTGCAATTTTAAAACGAAAATTAAGATACACCCTGATTCTCATTTCCATGGCACTATTCGTGTACTCCCTTATAATCCAATTGACGTTCCCTCCTATTGCGGTTTTGCCTAAACTGGAACTTGGAATTGACTGTACGTTCCGAAAGAACTGGATGGGGCAAGTTCAATACGCTATCGTCGGATTCTTTTTGGTGATTGTTGCACCTACGATGGTGTTTATGTTACGAAAAATCCGTGATACTCAAGGAATTCAACGGGAACTGTTGGTTTCAATCGTTGTTGATTGGGTTTGCTTGGTGATTTATTTTATGATCTCATATCAGATGTTACCGATTGATGATTGGGGTTATTTCGGGCCGAACCATGTGATGTAAGTTTGCAAAACAACATATTTGATTTTTTTTCTCTTTTTTAATTTTCATTTTCTATTTTTTTGTTTAGATACATTGTATGCGGGTCATGTCATTACATGAGCGTAATTCTTCCATTGTACACGCTGTACATGAACGAGCGAAAAAAATCCAAATTTTCGTTGGCGTATAACATGGACTCGTTCAATCAAGTATTCGCAGATGAAAGTCTTTTCCACCTGCTGAAGATTGCGGCAGCAAAAGGTAAAATAAAAACTCTCGTTTACAAAATATGAACTAACAATTAATTTTTTGAAAAGATCTTTGCTCGGAACAAATAATTTTCCTCGAGGAAGTCGAAATACTGAAAAAACGTGCCGAGTTGCAAGCAAACCATTTCCAAAACCTGAATACATCTCCACAAATCGAAACACTGACGACAAAGGCATCAACACCGGATAATTCGTCTTCAGTTTATGCGATTTCAACAGAAACCAGCACTGATTATTCAGAACCGGTTCCAAGCAACTACGAAGGAGAAAGACGGAAGTCGAAATACGACTACAACCTTTTTCAACAGCGTACAGTGATGAATAGTTCGGAATTTTTGCAACCTCCTCAACATCGATTCTTGGATCAGTCGTCTCAAAATAGCGACGGTCATTCTGGATTTACGTCTGAGGTTACGGTTGAGGTAATGTCGGCTGGGAATACCAATTCCGCTATTTCTCTTCATTGCGAGAGACTGATGCGAGCTTTTATTTACGAGGGAGCACCGTTAGAAGTTAATCTTAGTGCTTCTGTACGATACGCGCTAATAGATAAATTCAACGATGGATATATTGGGGTTAATATGTTTGACGATGCAAAAGAAGAGGTTAAAAACTCATTGGTAGGTGAATTTTAATGAATAAGCTGTTTGCGGAACTGAAAATTTTCTTGTTTAGTATTTTAATACGTACCCGAAAATGATAAAAATGCGAAACAATAGTTCTGATAATTGATATTGATTTTAATTTTAATTTTTTGGACTATACTTATTCCTCTTCAACTATATTTTTAGATATTTAAAGCTGAATCCTCTTATGATATTATATAGATGTTATATTTTGATTAATTGATAATATATGAATAATATTTTGAATAAATTTGTTACTCTTCGCTCAGAAAAATTAAAATAGTTGGAAAAAAAAAAAATGAAAAATGAGGGGGAAAAAGTTAAAATTAACGTTACTGTATTTGCAACCTTTTCCTTGATAAACCGCTGCCCTTAAATTTTAAAAAATTCTCCTAAACGATATTAACTTATATCTCACTTATAACTAGTGCATTCTTCTCAGCTTTACGAATCGAATCAATCAATACCAATCATGAAATACGCGGAAAAAACAATAATAAAATCGAAATCAACCAATCACAAGTGTTGCTATTCATTTCAAATTACCTTCATCAACGCGAAAAAACTTAGAATTTAAAATTCGGACATTTTATTTTGATTTATAGACAATGGTATCTGTTTTTAATTTTTTTGAGAGATAACGAGGTGAAACATTCTTGATCCGTCGGGATTTCAGAATACAAAGCTTTTGTAGAACTATCTATTGAGACGGAGCTCAAGTAACGATTATTAAATATGGCCTTCACAGTCCAGATATCTTTCAATCTTTACAGTAATTGCAGATTTGAGGAAAAAGGTAATATTTATTAAAACTTTCAAAATAAAAACATTTTCTTTTCTTACATGCATGCTTCGAGACAATTATATATCCGTCATCCAAGTTCCTGGATACAGATCAACGCGTTGACAGAATTTGGATCATGCAGAATACAAGGCAAGGAGCAACATCAACCACCACAAATCTGCGCATAAATAGAGAAAATCTCTTTCGCAATCAGCACGAAGTAATTCTCCCGAGTTGTACCAGAACATCGAACAGCAAACGCAGCACATTTCGTCTTCGGTCTGTTAATTTTCGAAATTCGAAGTAAATGGAAACCTATAGAGGTGTGATGAAATGAAAGTCCACGACCAAGATTCGAACTTGGAAACACCTGAGACAGGGCAGAACTCAGGGCTCTAGCCAAACCGAGATCCGTGGAAAAATTTAGCAAATTTCGGGCGTTGATACTCTACCAGATATTTTATATAATATCAATGAATCTTGAAAGTGCTGCCGTCAGGCTGTAAACAAACGCGCTGGTCATCCTGAGCACTTTACAAAAATATATTCGAGAAAATTATGAATAATAGATTTAAAAAACCGTTGTCCACAACCAAGATTTGAACTTGGAACCACCCGAGGAGTTGCAGTCCTCGGTGCTCTAACCAGATTTGAACTATTTGTGGAGAAAATACTTAAAACCAAAAAGTACAAGTAAATTTCAAGTCCGCAACCAAGATTTGAACTTGGACCTTCCTAAGATAGTTGGATGCTCTTCCATAATTGAGCTACTGCAGAGGATATTAAAATTAATTAATACTTAAATTAAAAAGACTGCAACCAAGCTTTGAACCCGAAACTTTCTTTTAAGTGGAATTCCAAAGAAACTTAAACCAGAATTGAGCTATGGCAAAATATTATATTTTTAATATAAATACAAAAGTCTGCAACCAAGATTTGAACTTGGATCTTCCAAAGGATAATTGGATTCCTCGCGGTGCTTTAACCAGATTTAAGCTATTGCAGAAAAATTTTAAAACTAAATGAAATTAATTAATTTAAGTCCGCAATCAAGATTTGAACTTGAAACCGTCCGATTGACATTCGGATGCTCTACCAGATTTGAGCTACTGCGGAGGGAAGTTTTCACAAAGAAACAGGCCAAATAAAAATCTAAATCTACTGTAGAGTGCAATACCAAAATATTAACCGGAAACTATTAAAATTCCGCCGCTTTTCCACCGAATCTCCTGAAACTGTTTTCCGCACTTCAAAAATTGACAACCACTGACAACAAAATGTCGCAAAACATTCTCTTCCCAACCCAACCACCAAATTACCCCTACTCCAGCCCACTCCCACCCGCCGACGACCTCCAATTCACTCAATTCTCTTACTCTGAACGCGGTGGATCCACAAACACAACAAACACTGCCTACCCATCATACCCAGATACAACCTCAACGTATAACCCCGGCCCGAATGGTCCGCAAGTTAGTTATTACGCCGCGTTTAGTACCGGTGATTACCCTGATGAACCACCGCTTCTAGAAGGTATGCACATCGTTATTAATTTTTTTTTTGTCGAGATTGCGGTAGGTGAATTTTAATTTGGTTTGGGGGTTTTTTTGTAGAGTTGGGAATCCGGTTTGACCACGTTCAACAAAAAGCGTTAACAGTATTAAATCTATTTCGACCGGTTGATAAGAATATCATGGATGATCCAGATATCGTTGGTCCTCTAATTTTCCTAATCGCTCTCGGCGGGTTTTTATTACTGGTTTGAAACTTGCAGACGATTTTTTATTTTTCGAGGCTAACATATTATCAAATTCGAGTAGGCGGGAAAAGTTCATTTCGGGTATATCTATGGACTCGCAATGTTGGGTTGCGTTTCGTTAGGTTTAATCTTGAATTTAATGAGTGAAACGGGAATCGACGGGTACAAAACCGCCAGTGTTTTAGGTTACTGTTTACTTCCCATGGTGATTCTCAGTGCACTCTACGCACTTTTCCATCTCACGTACGTTTTATTTCATTTTCGAACGCACTTTTTTGTTATTGGAATCAGTAAAATAACGGTATTTCATAATTTTTCAGTGGATTAGATATACTCTCGGACGGAATCCCTGGTCTCATACTCTCATCACTGACAATTTTATGGTGTACACATTCGGCGTCGTTAATTTTCGTGACGATATTACAGATGAATGAACAGAGGTTGTTGGTCGCGTACCCGGTGGGATTGTTTTATATTGCGTTTGCATTGTTGACGGTGTTTGATGAAGTCAAAGATGCTGCTTCAGGAAAGAAATGAACAAAGAGTGGAAATTTTAATATATTTTAAATACAAAGTAATGCTGTATAGATGATAATTGAGAGCCAACCCCTACAAAACGAAAGTCTGTGATTTTCAGGTCCACAACCAAGAATTGAACTTGGTAACCTCCAAAGGAGAATAAGCGCTTTCACCAATTTAAGCTATTAGCAGATTGCTCCACTACCGGGAGTCGAACCTGGAATCTCATGTTCTGCCTTGGCACTCCCTTTCGAGCATTGTGGAATTTGTATAAATTTTTTTAAATAAAAAAAAACACCCTTCCCAACTGTACCTTGTTCTCCATCGACTAGACAGTAAAAAAAAACATCCAGTAAAGGTGTAAAACTAAATAAATGAATAGATTAGTCAAAGTCCACAACCAAGGCTCGAACTTGGTAACTTCCATGAAAGAAAGAAGCGCTTTTCCAGACTTAAGCTATGGTAGAATGGCTCTACCACCAGGGTTCGAACCTGGAACTCTTGTGTTCTTTCTTGGCGCTCCCTTTGAGCTTTGTGGAGAATTTTCATAATTGGTGGTACATGTCAATTCCTGTCATCTTCGAATCAGATTTATTTATTTCGGAATTCCATTCCGCTGTGATAAATGTTTGGGTTTACTTATCCTCCCTTCTCGCTCTTTCGACCCATCCGTCAACTTGAACGCAGGATAATATTGATCAGTCGTATCCGGTATCCTCAGGTACGGATTTGGTATAGTATTATCCAACCCACCCAACGAAGTATACCTACACCAGAGAGAGTTTTAGAAGAAGAGGGATAAAAAAAATCAAAAAAGAGTGAGGGTACCCGAGATCATATAAAATGCAATAAGGTATACGAAACAATAATAAAAAATCCCAAATTTCTTTATAACTCCAATCTAATATTGGATGTACACGCCAAATCGGCGGCCAATCTCCATCCGTAAAATCAAAACTTTTCAACTTTGCTAGAGAAAAAACATTACAATGGAAGGGAAAGGGGGGGAAAGGAAGGGGAGATGTTACAGCAAAAAGGGTCCGTTTGTCTAGTTCCTATTAAAATCGCTTTGATTTCCGTATTCGTATCCAAGAACTGCTTTAAATCAGATTTCATATCTCCTTCGGACCTCGTCAACTCCAAAGAATACCTAATTGAAAATTCACTTTCAACCCAAATTCAAACAGTTTCCACATACTTTTCTACACACTCAGTAACAAACGCTTCAACCTGAGTAAACGCATTCTTGGGCGCAACATATAAAGTCTTTATCCTAAACCCCGACTCTGAGTGCCCATTAACTTGGGGATTTTGAGTATTGTAGTAAATTAGCGCCAGATGATATAAATATAGTAAAACTGTGCAATCTTTTCCGCCGTTGAAACTTAGAGCGACACCCTCTCGTCTACAAAAATAAAAAGAATGAAATGAATGGAAATAGAAGTTGAGTACCCGAAGCGAGATAGGGCGTTTAGGATGATATGGAAAGAATTAATCCAAGTTGAGTGAGGCTCTTTTGAGTTGAATACGATAGCGTAGTCAATGTCCACGGGAGAATCCATTTGTAATTAAAGCTGTTCCCAATATGCAATATGAAAATGCAGAATGGCTCGATATGGCACACATTCTGCTCCAGAAAACCCCACTGCCCGTGCTTCTCCATCAGTTCCTCACGGGAAACCACAGTCTGAGTACAAACAAGAAACTTTTACTATCGGGAAATCCCGGCGCTGGAAAAACTTCGTTGGCTTTGTTACTTTGCGACTTGATACCCGATACTGTATTTTTTTTCACTTTCACCCGGCGTTTTTATCAAATGTTGATTCTAAACTATGAATGTGGCCTAGATTAGATACTTAAACTACTCTTCTGTCGCATTCGCTCCATCTCGTGACATTTTACCGGATAAATCCAAATCTCTGCACAATCTCCTCCATCCAACCCAACCAAACCAAATAGGTACTATGAAAATTTCATCACTCGAGTTTACTTATATAATCTAATTTCTCGCTTCTCAGTGATTCTCGATGACCTGGAATCTCTATTCCCAGTCGACACCACATCAATATCAACCTGCAACGTGTTTCGTAAATTCCTGATTGACGCAAAATCAAAAAGAATTTTCGTGATTGGGATCACCACCAATCCTGATCGCGTTCACAAAGCCGTGATTTCTTATTTTAAAGTATTAACTTCTTTGATACGATGTTAAAAAAAAATTTATATGTATGTGTTTTCTTAGGAAACAATCACTATCCTACCACTCACAATCGCAGAACTAGAACTTCTCTTATCCCACCATACTCAAAACGACACTATAAACATAAACTACCCCCTCATCAGTAAAAAATGTAACGGATTCCATTACGCCAACATATTCTCACTAATCACCCGTGCAAAACTGTTATCCCGTCACCGCACCAACAACTCACCATCACCATTAAAAACGATCGATTTTTTGAACGCGTTGGAGGAACTAAAGAATGATTTTTCTGGACACAGTGGTGATGACGAAACGTTTTTGTCGAAAGTTGAAGTTGTCACGTGGAGTGATATCGGTGGGTTACGAGAAGTCAAGGTCCATACGATACGTTTCAAATTTCAATTGTTAAAAACTCAATCATTTTGTTTATAGATGTTATTGGAAGAGATATTCACATGGACGCATACCATGGATACCGAATTACAATCACAACTACCAAAACCACACGGAGTGTTACTGTTCGTGTCCCTAAACATCCCACTCTTACTCACAATTTAACCGCATTTAAACAGATACGGACCACCAGGAACAGGAAAAACACTCCTCGCGAAAGCCATTGCCAAAGAATCCGGGTCAACTTTCATTTCGTTACCGATATCCCAATTACTTCAAGGCGAAGTCGGGGGGTCAGAGAAGATTATATCCAACGCATTTGAATATGCGAAGAGGAATACACCGAGTATTTTATTTTTCGATGAAATTGATGCGCTGTTTTCGCGGGGTATGAGTGAGAGTGATGTTGGTGGGAAAGTAAGTATACCTATACAATTTTTTTTTTTTTGTGGAATTGTGTTAATTTGTGGGTTTTTTTGTTAGTTGATGGCACAATTAATTTCGGAAATGGATGAATGTGAACAGGATCAGGTTATTTTATTAGCTGCTACCAATCACCCGCACTTGATTGACGCTCGGTTATTAAATTCAGGTGGAGACTTTATATTTATCATTTATTATTATTATTTTTATTTTTTCTTACTTTAATCCGGAATTTAACTTTTCCCCTTATTTCTATTCTTATTTTATTTTATTTTATATGCCATCTCAGGTCGATTTTCAAGAACAATCCCAATCTCACCGCCTTCCGAATCTGATCGATACAGGATCTTAAAATCAATTTTTAATCAATTCACTTTCGACACTTCCACACATCCCAAAATCGATTCTGTTTCGATTGACGAGAAATTAAAGGAATTAGCGAAAAAAAGTTCAGGTAAAAGTGGAGCCGAGTTACGGGAGATGGTGCGGTTGGTTTTATCGGGGTTATGAGAAGTGTGTTTGGAAATTGGAATGTGAGTTTTTGTGTGAAAGATCGGTTTATTGAATACACTCGATACAAAAATTCATCTTTTTTTCTAAACCAATCAAAAAAAATTTCGCGTTCCTTTGAAAAAATATGAAAAATGGAACAACGTTACTCCCCGCGCGATTTTTAGCTACGATCGGACATTTAATTGCAACGTTAATGGTTTACCAAACAAAGGTTTTCCACCTCAAACTCCATTCCGTCGATCCCCCTTATCTTTAAAGTTTTATTATTTTTTGTGTAGGAAGGGAATATAACCGCGTCACTTCCGT